ACACCGCTGTCACCTGGGTCACAGCTGTCCCCTCCCTGGTCACACCGCTGTCCCCTCCCTGGTCACACAGCTGTCCCCTCCCTGGTCACACCACTGTCCCCTCCCTGGTCATACAGCTGTCCCCTCCCTGGTCACACCACTGTCACCTGGGTCACAGCTGTCCCCTCCCTGGTCACACTGCTGTCCTCTCCCTGGTCACACCGCTGTCCCCTCTCTAGTCACACTGCTGTCCCCTCCCTGGTCACACCCCTGTCCCCTCCCTGGTCACACCGCTGTCCCCTCCCTGGTCACACCGCTGTCCCTGGTCACACTGCTGTCCCCTCCCTGGTCATACAGCTGTCCCCTCCCTGGTCACACCGCTGTCCCCTCCCTGGTCACACCGCTGTCCCCTCTCTAGTCACACCGCTGTCCCCTCCCTGGTCACACCGCTGTCCCCTCCCTGGTCACACAGCTGTCCCCTCCCTGGTCACACCACTGTCCCCTCCCTGGTCATACAGCTGTCCCCTCCCTGGTCACACCACTGTCACCTGGGTCACAGCTGTCCCCTCCCTGGTCACACCGCTGTCCCCTCCCTGGTCACACCCCTGTCCCCTCCCTGGTCACACAGCTGTCCCCTCTCTGGTCACACAGCTGTCCCCTCTCTGGCATGCGGTGGGTGCAGCATGTCCTGTTCAGTCACACGCAGTGGTACGTGGGGGTGAGGGCGCTGCCCTTTCCTGCTGCCTGTTGTTTGTGATACTGAGCTACAGTACCGTGCTGAGCTCGAGAGATTCGTTTAGTAGTACATAGGGTTTTAATAAATGAATACGCAAAGTCAATATATTTGAAAAATTTAATCCATTTTTTTTTAGGTTTGAGGTTACATTGGTATGTTATTTTGTTTGTTACCTCTAATCAGTGATGTTTTTGTGAATTTTTAAGCTTCTGATCTTAAGAGGACACCATCAGCCAATTACTGCTGTGGCGTTTGGCAACACGGAGCACCCGCTTGTGGTCTGCTCTGCCTCACAAGACCACGTGCTCATGTGGAGGCTGGACGAGTGCAGAGAGAAGGCACTTCACGGTAGGTGCAGCCTAAAGCCACCTAACACTGTCCCGGAGCGACTTCCCCTTCGATAGCCCGGTGCGCACGGGGCTGGTCCTGTGCGACCCTGGGACCTGGAAGGCAGGTGCGGAGCTGGGGGAACACGGCCGAGCGAGAAGCCGCTTCCCGAACTCAGTGCGTTTAACCTTCACGTTTTCTTGCGTTGGAATCTGTGACTTCAGTGGCACTCTGAAACGTGGAGGGAGTTGAAATATTCTTTCCCTATGGAGCTGGGGCAAGTTCACAGCTTAGAGTGGGAAACTCACAGGCCCGTAGCGCTCACCAGCATGTGGGGCAGTGGAGAGCGAGGCGTAGACAGATCGTGGCGACATGCTCACGGGAGCCGTCCCGGCAGTGGCAGGTGGGAGGGTGGGCAGTGCTGAGAGCGCCTGTGAGGCAGAGGGGTCTGGGGGCCTGGCCTGGGCGTACGAGCTTGGCCTGTCCGAGGAGCCGAGACCGAGCCTGCGTGCTGAGGGCGGTGTGTCCGAGTTGTATCAGATGCGGGTGAAACGTTGGTGAGGACCACAGTATGGAGCTACACTCAGAAGTTACAGAATTGCTCCTAAAATCAACTAATTTTAGGCAGCAGCCTCTATAATAGGTTGTACTCCGCCTTCTTTATAGTATGGTCACTGCAATATCAGTGTGCCACCACTGACAGCTACACACGTGCACGTGCATGGCAGCACACACATACTCATGTAAACACACACATGCGTGCAAAACAAACACACATGCACCCAACAGTACACAAACATACATGTACACATTACACAATATAGCACACACATACTCACACATGTAAACACACACAAACACACATGCACATAATACAGTATACACACTACACGATATAGTACACACTCACACATGTAACTACACAAACACACATGCACACACACATAGCACCCACCCGCAGTACATGCACACATGTATACATTATGTACACACGTGCACACCACACGCACACGCACTCACACATGTAATTATGTGTGCACATACACACAAATCCAAACACACATGCATGCACATAGCACCAATACACACACCACGTGCATGCCTACATACAATGTACATACATGCACACATTCATTATGTACACACATTATACAGTACCGATATTCACTATGTACACACAGTACATGGCTAATATATACTACATTGCAGTGTACATATGTACACTGCAATACACACATGCATAATACATTCATACACATTCACATGCATACACATATGGTATATGTGTGCATGCATTTATAGCACACAGATACACAAACACATCTAGTACGCACATGCACAGCATACATGCACACAGGGACATGTGTGCACAGTACATGTGTTTAGTAGATTCATACACATACATATGGTATGTGCATGCATATAGTTATAGCACACACATATACAAGCACATCTTATACACACGCACAGTATATATGTACATACAGGCACACATACACACTACACACAGGGTACACATGCATGTAGTGCACACCTACAGGCACATGTGTGTATGGTATGCACATGTGCTGCGTATAGTGAGCCACCTGTTAGGAATCCGCTCCCTCCTGTGGTCTTGGTAAACAGGCAGTCTCATTGTAGGAGGGGCCGGACTCCCCAAGTTTGTCTGTAAGCGGAGCCCCACGTGGATCTGGGATGTGGAGATCTACTCCCAGGACGCAGGCACCGGGCTCAGGGAGTCCCGTGTCCCACCCCGCAGGGGGTCAGAGCAAGCTCATTCTCCCCTTCACGGGGCTGCACGGGCGGGTCCTGGGCAATTCCACGTATTTCCAGAGGAATTTTTATATTCAGCGTGTCTAATTCTCTCAGAGAGCCAGTCGTCTGACAGCTCAGTCACCCTGCGAGCATGTCCCTGCCCGGGAGCCGATTCCCGGGGACACGCAGTCCTGCCTCTGATGACCAACTAGCGGCTGCATCCCCCCCGCGCCCTCTCCAGGGATGGACCCGCGCGGGCTCGTCCTGGGCACCCGCCCGGGAGAGGTGCGGTGCGTGAAGTTCAGCCCGGACGACCAGATGGCTGCGGTGTGCGCTGGCAACAGGGTCCTCGTGCTGGACGTGCAGGTGAGAGGCGGCTGTGGGCGGCGGGGCACAGTGCGGGGGCCTCGCGGGGCCTCGCGGGGCCTCGCGGGCAAGGTCCGCCTGCCTCTTGTCAGCAGCCCTAATTGGGCGAGTTTCTGTACACACGTGAGGGGAGTCAGTGAGCACGCATCTGTGTCTTGCAATGGAGGCCTCGCCGTGACGCCCGGGGACCAGGGCACAGACATGCTCCGGAACACGGAACACGGAACACGTGCACTTCCCGGCCTTCTCTGTCAGAGAGCCTCACGGTGTGGGCCTTTCCCGCCTCTCTCTTACCAACACTTGCTTCCCCTTGAGAAGTGGACTTGCTCGTTGATTCTTCATCGGGATTGGCTGACGTGGACGTGCTGCCACCCGCAGGTTCTGTGACCATTGAGTCTCGTGTTGGACCCCGGGACGGCTTTTGGGCCCATGTCACACAGCGGGCGGGGCCCTGTTCCCTCGGACCCGTGGCCGCATGGGACGTGCTGTGGTGTCATGGGTGCAGCGACTGAGCACGCTGTTGGCCCCCGAGAGTCCCTTCCGTGTCCACGTTAGAACCGTGGGGCAGGCAGGACAGAGGCGGGACTTCGTGTTGGTGGTTGTGGCGGGACCTGCTGTTGTGTGTGCGGGCGGTGGGGGCACACCTGCCTCTGGACACGTCTCGGCTCACGGTTCTACGCTGGCGGCTCACCCTGGGGAAGGGCAGTGTCGGTGGTGACCTCACAGACGGAGGCGGGAAGTGTCCTGGGACGGGGCTGGGGCTGTGGACACATCCTGCGGGAAGGGCCTGCTGTGGGTGGGCCTCGGTGGTGTTGGTGGCCACCGGCTCCTGCGGCCCCGGACGCTGTGCTCAGCTGTCCGGGTGTCAGCTCCGTGCACGGAAGAGGGAGTTCCGCAGGGTGTATTTTAATGGAAACTCTTTTCTGCGAGACACAGGCGCCTTCTTAGCTGTCATTGCTGGGACATCCAGTGACTGGTCTCCCTGTGCAACCCGCAGAGCCGGACGGCGCGCGCCGAGCTAGAGGGGCACCAGGGCCCCGTGACCGCAGCCGAGTTCTGTGCATGGCAAGCGCATGTGGTCGTCTCGGGGTCTGAGGACAGAAGCTTCAAGGTAGGGACGGCCCCGCCCGCAGACAGACGGAGCAGCGGCAGGGCTGTGGCGTCTGCGCGATAGTTGCCCTCCTGACCTTCCACCACCGTTTCAGCCAGGCCACGGCCGGTGTGGGAGCCGATGGCGCTCACAGTGCCCCTTCTGTCCCGAATTCCCACGTGGGCTCGAGGCATCGAGTCAGCTGGGTGCCTCCTCGGATCCAGGCCTCGGGGAGAAAGCCGATTTCTCTCTGCGGCGTCAACGACGGCCCTGGAGCAGCAGAACCGTCGTCCGGTGTCAGGACTCGATCAGAACAAAACTGGCTCAAGAAGAAAATAAATTAAAATGCAAGCTCAGTCCCCATCGCAGTCCACGTCAGCCCGTGTCATGATGGCTGGTGACCGAGTGAGGACAGTCCCCATGAGGGAGAGAGAGGAGAGCACTGACCCCACCTGCACGGAGGGACAGAGGGACGGTGCCAGGTGCAGCCGGGAGGGTGTCCCCCCAGCTCCCGGCGCCCTCTGCTGCCCACAGCGGTGCCCGCGTGCTGTGCCCCCGCTCCTCTCTGGAATAATGGAGACTGGGCCTGCGGTGCCATAGCCGCACGGCCCTCGTGGAATTAAAGGAGCTGGGTGTTGGTGAGCGTGCAGAGCAGGTGGACACCCACTTCACCTCTGGCCCGTAAGGCCCGCGTGTGGGTGCCGCCCGGCCTTGCGGCTGGGCTGGTGCTGGGTGTCTGCCTCGCCCCTGGGCCGGTCTGGAAACGCGGTGTTTCCCAGGAGTCCACGTCTCACTATGCGCAGTTCCCTTGTTTTCCTCCTGTCGCTGTCTGCTCTCAGGAAAGCACTTGCAGGGTCGCTTGTAGCTGCCTAGAGTGTGAGCTGAAGGGCCAGCAGCAGCGGCAGAGCTGCCCTCCTGACGAGCTGTGTCTGCCCTCAGGTGTGGGACTGTCGCACGGGGGCCTTGATGCACAGCTCGGCGGTGCTGACAGGTAACTGGCCCTTATGTTCGTTCGTTCTGCCCGTGGCCACGCGTCTGCGCTCTCCTGGGGCAGGTGTGGTCGGCACACGGACGCCAGTCGGGGTCAGTATCACCCCTCTAGCTGCCTCACTCCCACCGACTGTCTTCATTTTAGCTTTAAAGTCTGAGCGTGGCTGGGAGCTGTGGAAGGTAGAGGTGTGGGGAGGTGTGGCCACGGCGCTGTCCCACAGAGCAGGGCCCGGAGCTGCGTGTTCGCGGGACGCGTGCCCGGTGGGCCCAGGCATGCGGCCGGGTCGCCACACTCTCCTCAGTCCGTCCCCTTGGGCATGGCTGACACCGTCCACGGTCGCACGTGGCACCGGCGGTGGGGCAGGGTGCCGGCGTGGGTCTCCGTGGGGCCTGTGAGATGCGGGGCCGGGCGACCTCCATGCAGGGCCCCAGCGCCTCCTGGGAGTGGTTTCCTGGTCCCGCTAGGCCCAGCGCTTCTCTCCTGGGAAGGGAGCAGGGAAGCAGGTGTGGCCCTGACTCCGCGTCCCCCGAGGGCCACGCTCTGCGGGACGCGCTGCTCTCACACTCGGCGGCAACACAAGCAGGGCCAGAGCCCGGGCCTGGGGATCGCGCTGGGATGACTTTCCTGAAATTATGTGAACTACCGGACTGTCCAGAAAACAATGACAAACCTGGTTTTGACATCATTTATAGTTTGTAGGCCATGGGGTGTTTTTTAATATCCATTTATCTTAACTCTCCTTCCAAATTCTTGGCAGTTTAGATGCACAATATGTCTTAAGTGAAATGACATCCTAGGCAGCAATTTAAAAAGATGCCATTTAATTGCTGTTTAGCACGAATCCTTAGCTTCACGGAGCCTGGCCACCCGAGGCCCGTCCTGGGGCGTCTGTGCTCCGGGCGCTTGCTGTGCGGTCCCCTCGTGCCCCCCTCCCCCCCAGCCAGCGACTCAGCGGGGGCTTGAGTGACGGGGGCAGAGGCACAGTCACCTGCCGGCCGGCGCTCAGGAGAGTTCACAGCTGTGCTCGCTGTTTCTACTTTCTGTGCAGAAATTATTTCAGAGCAGCTGGAACTGACTGAAGGAATAAGTGAAGCTGAGAGTTTTCTTCAAACTGTACCAGTGCCTTTGAGGGTAACGGCTCGTCTCTTCCTCTCACCAGCCTCCCCCCTCCTGAGCCTCTTCACCGATGGGGAGAGCCAGCAGCTGGTGGCCGGGGGCGCCGAGGGCCAGGTGAGGGCAGGGGTCGGGGCCTCCTGGAGCTGCACACCTGGCTCACCTAGTGACCGCTGTCACCCTGCGTGTCCCGGGCTGTCCCGGGCCCTGGTGGTGTGCGCCTGGGGGACCCGCCGGGGTCTGCAGAGGCCTGTGTGGTGCCCGCACCCGAGACAGTGCCCTCAGCCACGGTCAGCAGGGGCCGAGGGGTGGGGCTCAGACCAGGGCAGAGGCTCGGGGACCCCAGGGCCACACGCCTTGTCTCTCATCTGCTCCCACCCTCATCCCTCGCCCGGCTCTCCCTGCCTTTCCTCGTGCCGCTGACGAGGGTGAGGCCCCGTCTCGTTTGCCAGCTCTGCATCTTCAGTTTGGTTGAAGGTCATCATTATCGTCATGTGACGCGTGTGGACCTGAGGAAAGAGACGGAGAGTTTCTACGCCAGGCGGCCAGGTGATGCCCCTGACCTCTCACCTCTGACCCGTGATGTGAGGCAGGAGGGGCCGCAGCAGGGTCAGGTCTGACTTCAGACCTCTGCAGGAACCACAGATCTGAGGGGGGGGGGGTAAGGGGGAGGGTCTAGTGAACGCTCCGCTCCTCCTGTGGGTGGTTGTCATGGCGACGAGGGTCCAGGGTGAACGCCTTCCGGCCACCATGGGTTTTCCTCGCTCAGCAGACTGTGCCTCGCTCAATCCGGTTCCACCTGGATGGGCCCCGCCCGCCCTGCTGCGTATCACCTGTCCCCCCGCCCGGGGCGCACTGTCCCACTGCTCTAGCCTCCTCGGTCTGTCAGAGGAGCTGCCTGTCCGGGGACTGGTGCTGCCTGTAGTCGGGCGGGGCCTCCTGCGGGACTGCTGTCCGAGGCTCCGAGCGCAGGCCCCCTCCGCCGGCACGCCGAGGGCAGCATAGGCCCAGTTTGCGTTTCTTGCTTCTTCCCAGATGACTCTAGCCATTCCTCTTAAAATGGCCAGAAATTGCCTTTTCCCAACGTGTCTACCTTTTCGAATGCTTTACGTCTTGGCTGTCGTGATTTCTTCTGTCAGAGCCCATTTATCCTGAAGCGAAGCTCAAACCACTGTAACCCACGGCGACCGTGCCCTCCCTCCCTCTGTGGCCTGAACTGGACGCCCGCGCCCTGCGGCCTCGTGACGGGGCCGCTGCTTTCTCGTGTCCCCTGTGAGGAAGCAGCCCGTGTCCCTCGGCCCCGATTGGCCCACCGGCAGCACCTGCGTCTGCCCCCCCCCGCTTCCCCTCCATGTGGGATTGTCACTGGCTCTTCCAGGAGAGAGCGGGCTGGACAGAGGGGACGGGGTCGACGTGGCGCTCCCCGTCCTGAGCCTGGCGCGCTGCGACCTGCCGCCGGGCCTCGGCCCCGGGCATGGATGGTGAGTGTGGTCGCTCGGCCGGGCCCCCAGGAGAAAACCTCTCCAGTCAGGTCCGTTTCTTAGGTGGTGGGAACGACACCGGCTTATTTTAGTGTTTGTGTAGCTGTCGGTGATGTCAGCGTTGCGTATTTACGTCTTAAAGTTGGTCAACTTGGTCAATTATGTTCAACGTATTTGATAAGAGAAATGGGGTTACTTTATTTTGCTCATAAAATCTAGGCAGCTCCCGGCCTGTGTGGTGGGTGAAGGGAGCCGCAGTCCTAAGTCGTTCTACATGTGTGCGTGTGTCACGCGTTTAACATGGTCCGCGACGAGCTTACTCACCCGTGTTTGGTAGAAATGCTACAGGTACTTGGCAGCACAAGGAAGCCGCTGCTTAACTGGGATTAAAAGGGAGGTGGTGAGTGTGTCCACCTGCGGCACAGAGCGTGGGAGGTTCCGGACACGACTAAGGACTCGGCCCCCAGGAGGCAGGGGCGGGGCGGGGGCTGCAGCCCTGCCTGTGGCCTGGCTGGGGTGGCCCTGTCTGCCCAGACACCCCTGCCTGGTGGCACGTGGCTGGAGGCCAAGCGGAACAGTCGCCTGGCGGGCAGTTGAGCTGACTGTGGGCCTGAGGCCGTGGGCGCCCGTCCCAGGCAGCAGTGATGGGAGGGTCCAGACCGCGTCCCAGGGTCCCATTTCCCCCCCGGACGACTGGCTCGTTGCTCTGTGGTCTGGCGTTGGAGGTGAGGACGCCAGGAGTGAGTCCGGGAGCTGGGCTGTTGGAGGTGCCTGGTGACCAGGCTGTGCCTGGCTCAGTCCTCAGGTGCCAGAGGGAGACCATGGGCCTGAAGGCCCTGCAAACCCACCTGGCATAGCCAGCAGGGGGCGCATCCGTCACAGAGGAACTCGCATCTGGTTGTAAACTGAAAACTAAGAAGAGGAGGCAGCAGAGCTGTGTGCCGCTCGCTGGGAGCTCTGCTGCTCTGGGTACAGTTTCCTCCGGAGTTTGTTTCTCGCGTGCAAAGCTGCCTGCGGGCCGGAGGGCAGGAGCCTCACAGGGGGACGCGCACTAACCTCTCGCGGCCTCAGGATGTCGCGGGTCAGAGCTGAGTTGCTGGTCTCACGGAGACTGGATTCCAAGGACACCCAAACCCTTTGACACCAGCCCAGCTGTGGGTGCTCGTAGCTTGTCGCTCAGGCGGCAGCACATTCACCTGCAGCGGGCGGAGAGGCCCGTGCGGTCTCCGCGGTTACGCTGCTCACAGGAGCGTGGGTGACCTCGGGGACGACACCGTGGAACTGAAGCTCACAAATGAGACCAGTCCACGTGTCTCTCTCTGAAGTCTTTCCCCGGACAGGACCAGCTGTGTGTGGGTCGGAAGCTCCGCTGGACTGTTCATCCTGAACCTGGCGAGCTTTGAGCTGGAGGCTGCGCTGCATTACAAGGGTGAGCGCACGTTCAAACCGCCTTCGCTGTACATGTCACGTCACGTTAACGTTGTCTTTGACTGCTGTTGGGGAGTAAGTTTTAGGGCAGAAAGCCCTTAAATGTTGCTTATTTCTCTTTGTGGAAATTCAGATTTTCTGAACCTCAGCATCCAGGTGGCCGGGTCGTGTGCCGTGATGAGCAGCCGTGGCAAGGTCAGTCCTCAGCGCTCCCGACCTTGGCGTCTGGGGGCGTCCATCTGTCCGTCCGTCCACGTGACTCGTGCTCCCTTTCAGCCGCGTGTGACATGCCGGCTTTCCCATGAGGCCTTTGTGGGGAAGTTGTGAGGAGCCACGGTGCTGTGCGGACTCCCCACCGGTCAGGCAGCGCGGCTGCTGTGAGGGATGTGGGCTCCCTGCGGGGACGGCTGTGTGCACTGCAGTGGGGCCTGCTCGTCCGTGATGGCATCACAGTCACGTCTCTCATTCTGTCACCACTGTCACAGGCCTTCTGCTTACTCGCTTCCATGTTTGGGAATGAGGTCGCCGGCTTGGAGCTCGACCCAGCCGCTCTGGTGAGGTCCCAGCAGCACCCCCACCTGGGAACGCAGCTCTCAGTGCTGCCCAGGTAGGTCTGCCAGGTGGGTCTGCCAGGTGGGTCTGCCAGGTGGGTCTGCCAGGTGGGTCTGCTCAGGTAGGTCTGCTCAGGTGGGTCTGCCAGGTGGGTCTGCTCAGCTGGGTCTGCCAGGTGGGTCTGCCAGGTGGGTCTGCCAGGTGGGTCTGCCAGGTGGGTCTGCTCAGGTAGGTCTGCTCAGGTGGGTCTGCCAGGTGGGTCTGCTCAGGTGGGTCTGGCAGGTGGGTCTGCTCAGCTGGGTCTGGCAGGTGGGTCTGGCAGGTGGGTCTGGCAGGTGGGTCTGGCAGGTGGGTCTGTTCAGGTGGGTCTGGCAGGTGGGTCTGCTCAGCTGGGTCTGGCAGGTGGGTCTGGCAGGTGGGTCTGCTCAGCTGGGTCTGGCAGGTGGGTCTGGCAGGTAGGGGCTATATGTGTCCGTATATCAGTTGGCAGAATTCAGAGCAAAGTTCAGTAAACTCCCACCTATACTACCCTTAAGTTTGTTTTAATGTGAAACACTGTTGTGTTTCAGGATAGAATACAGATTATAAAACAGTGTTTTTATTAAAATACAGATTTACTTCTTGGGAAGATAAGAGTGAGCTTGAGGGTTTGTCGCTCCTCTCAGCTGCAGGCCACGCCTGCAGGGACTGGTCTGCGACTGCCCTCAGGCCCGTGTTGTGTGGAAGCAGCTCCCACGATGCAGTCTCTGTTTTCAGCTCCGGTGTCTCCCCGACCTCCCCTCTGTATTTCGGAGTCGCTGAGGCGACACGTGTCAAGCCGGCCAGCCACCAGCAAGCCGGTCAGTGTGACCTGAAACGTGAACATGAAAATGCAGACGTGGTTCTCGTTAGTGTCGTGCTGCCTGGGGGAGGGTCTGTCCGGGCGCCTTTGTTCCTGCCCCTCCCGTGTTTCTATGCAGGGAATGTGCTAGGTTTCTTCTCCTGAACTGCGTACAACTCACAGGAACTCAGGAACTGCTGCTTCTCAGGGTCCAGCAGTGCGGGCCGTGGGCGCTGGGATATGATGGATCATGAGATGTTTTTTCTCGTTTCTCTAACTGCCTTGCCAGCTACTCAGAGCTCCCTGCGGGACCAGCCCCTGGTCTTCCACAGCCGCGTCCGGTCCTCCGGGTACACGGCTGCACCCCAGTGAGTAGATGGCTCATAGCCGCTCCCACGGGAGCAGCAGGGCAGTGACGGTAGCTGCGGCCTCGTGTGTCCTGAGGGCCACCCACAGGGCGGGAGACGGGAGACGGGAGACGGGAGACGGGAGATGGGCGGGCGCCGCAGTTAGAATGGGGTCGGCCCCTCACAGACGTGCAGCAGCTGCAGGGCCAGCCTGCTGAGTGCTCACTGTGCACCGGCCCCTTGGCCCCTGGGTCCTTGCCTGGCCGCAGTGGTTGTGACTGACCACCTGTGAGGAGGGACATGGCCTGGGGCCTGACCGCACTGTCCCCCCCAGACCGCAGCCTCGCTCTGACCACGGTGTTAAAATCGCTACACCCAGAGCTGGGGCGCAGCAGGGCTGTCTGAGGGCCGAGTGGGAGAGGCGGGCTGGGAACTGGGGCTGGCGAGGACTTTCAGGTACAGCAGCCACGGGTCCCGGTGCTTCAGGGCCCGCGTGTCTCAGAAGCAGGCACTGCCCCTCAAATCTTGACCCATTGTCTGTCTGAACCCCATCACGAAACAGCCTGTGAGCGGGAAGCCTGGGGGCCCTGGTTGACTCGTTCCCGCTGACTCCCCTCTGCCATGCTCCCCTGATGCCCCCTGCAGCCACCCTCTGGGCTCCCCGCCATCCCTGCTGCTGCTCCCCTCTGTACGACCTTCTGCCTCTGGCCCCCACCCAGCCCTCTGGCTCCTCCGCTGTGGCCTGACCACGACGGCATGACCAGCGCCGTCCGTGGAAGTACACTGCTGCCCGGCGCAGTCCGTTTCCCAGCACTGCTGGCCAGTGCTGACGAGCCTCAGAGTCCAGTCCCTCCGCGTGTGACTGCCTGGGGACGGACGGCACGTCTGCGTGGCTGTGCTTCTCACTGTTCTCTCAAGCAGCTGAGGCCCGTCACCTCGGAAGCTGACGTGAGCGTTTCCTTCCCGCAGTGTGACCATGTTCTCACCCAAGACCAATGTCAGGAGTGGCTGTAAGAGACCTTCACGACGCAGGAGCACTCACACCTGGTGGGCAGCTGGCTGACCTTCCGAGTAAACTTGGTGATTTGGAGAAACCCTTTAAACAGTTCACTGACTTTTCACACAAGTGTAGACCTGTGTGTGTCTGTGTGTATGTACACGTGTACGCAGGCATGTGCACACATTGATGTATGTCCTTCAGTCAAAGTTAACTCTGATGTATGTACATGTGTACGCAGACGTGTGCACCATCGATGTATGTCCGTCAGCCCGTCCCTGGTTTCTTTTGAAAGCTGGGAAGGTGCTGATCTGCTCACGATGGAAGCAGTCAGTGTGAGGGAGACACGACCCACAGGGTCTAAACTCAGAGCAGAACCGACTGCCCTTCCCTGAGCCGTCACGGTGCCCGCCAGGTCCCTTACATGTGGTCAGTGCTTGGTGTTTGTGCTTAAACACCTGCATGGTGGCACGCAGGGATGCTAGTCTTTCGAGAGTCCTTTCGTGGTCCGGGAAGTCAGAGTTCATGTGCGTCTGCACCGTGTCTGCTGGGATGGAGTCGCACAGGAACGGGGATCCAGGCCGTTTAGTGCCCGTCTCACCTTGAGCCCCTCCTGACCTTTGTCTTCTCTGCCTCCTCAAGTCAGCAGTGCCCTTCGGACAGCCCTCCGCCGACCCAGCTCCGCCGGCGGCTGGCTGTGGCCCAGGGCCCGGTGGCCGTGCGCTGCGTGCAGTTCTCAGGTACGGCGCGGGGAGGTGCTCACTGCCCGTGGCCCTCGTGCATAGAGTTTAAGCGACCTCGCGACCTCGCGACCTCGGTGGCCTGGAGCCGCAGGGCAGTGCTGGGTTAGACTGAGACCAGCACTCGTCCCCCGTGTGTGGGAGGAGTGGGTGCAGAGCCCGGCCGCACTCCAGGCCTGCGGAGTCGCGTGTCCGCCTTTTCCTACATGAGGGCCTGGGGAAGACTGCTCGGAGGGTCTGTGTGGGGAGGAAAAGCAGCCCCTCCCCGGTTTCCTGGGGGGCGGAGGAGCCCACGGGCGAGGACTGTGTGTCCGTCGGCGCTGTCCCTCCCGCAGCCAGGCCGCTCGGCTCTGGCAGCTGTCCTGTCTCAAGGGCATGGAGACCCCTCCCCAAACTCCCCTCCTGGCCACCGGCGTTTTCCTAATGAATTTGGGAGGAGAGAGGAGGCGGCTCTCCTGCAGCAGCTCCCGGTCTCACTGATCTCCGCTCCTTTCAGAGTAAATGCTGGACCCAGGCCCTGCCCTCGGTCCGCGGTGGACGGGGGCCTGGCCGGTGCTGCACCCGGGCCGCCTCCTCCAGTGAGTGACCAGCCGCTGCCCGAGTACCACTGGCGGATCCGGGGTTACTGACAGCCGTGCTGAGTCCCCTTTGCTTTTCATGCAGTTCCAGCCAAACACGCTGTAGGATAACTGGGGAGGTTAGAGCTGGAGGTACTGTCCCCCCCAGACCGCAGCCTCGCTCAGTGACGACACGTCTTTGTCTTTGTGATGTTCGATGTGCTTGCTACTGAGCGTGGGACTGTGAGGTAGGACCCGCCATCTGAACGTCCCGGAGGAAGTCGTGGTTGATTTCTGCCCCCCCTCAGGGAAACGTGAGACGGAACTGCTTAGCAAACATGCTGCTTACACGTCTGCTGGGGCAGGCCGACGGCAGGGGCCCAGGGCGGAGCCGTGGTCCAGGGAGCTCTGGGCTCAGACCTGCATTGGCGCCTCAGCCTCGCGTCCTCAGCTCCCTGTGGACGAAGCCCAGCAGCCTCAGGGCTGGGGTTCAGCCTCAGGGGAGCCGGGACCTGCTCGTCCCGGATGCCGTCACTTCCCGAGGGGCCGATCCAGTCACCTGAACATCGTCTCTGCTTTCTCGAGCAGGAGACGGGCGCTGGCTGGCCTGTGGCCTGGCCGACCACCTGTCCCTGGTCTTCGATGCCCATCTGACTGGAGCACCTGCTGTTTTCTCAGGTAAGACGTGGCCACCCTGGTCTCCGTGAATTCACGGGCGGGTCTCTCCGGCCTGGAGTTGGTCGCTGAGGCCACTTTCGTTCCCTTTGAGACAAGACCAGAGTAGAACCTGACTGGAGTCGGGGGAGGAGGCAGCGAGGTTTGACCCATTGGCCTCCGCTGGGCCTGCCCTCCACCCAGAGTGGGGTCCCCTGTGGGCCCAGAGCTGCGGCCGGAGCCCAGTTACATGTGGTGACTTCCCGTGGGCGGGCGTCCCTCTGACGTGTGGCCTCGTCGGCTCTTTGCTGAGTGTGGGTGAGGGAGTCGGGGTGACCTGAGCCAGGAGAGGGAGCCGCTCGGCTGGAAAGAGGGTGCGTGTGGAGGTCCCGTAGCTGGATGGTGGGTGGGGCTGCCCTCCCCGGGGCTGTATGGGTGGCAGCACCTGGATCTCCGGGCACCCGGGCACCTGGGCATCTAGGCACCTGGGCACCCGGGCACCTAGGCAGTGGTGCGGAGCCTCAACTGCCATTACCAGCGACCATTGTCAGCTCAGCAGCAGCGAGATGGAAACTCCCTGAAAGGCCACCAGGGGGCAGCAGAGCCATCTTTTCTTGGGTCCTGTCAGAACTGATCAGAACCAATCAAATCAGACCTCTCTCTCCCTGGTCCCCTGGTGTCCCCCCCCCCCCCCCCCCCCGCCCCCGTCTCCTTTAGGTCATGATGGGGCAGTGAGCGCCCTGGGCTGGAGCCACGACGCCCGGTGGCTGCTGTCGGCCTCCCTGGACGGGACCCTGAGGGTGTGGTCGGCCCGCAGCCGGGAGCCCGCCCTGTGCCTGGTAAGGGGTGATTCCTGGCGATTTCGGAGCCAGCCCTGCCACCTCGAGGTCAGGGAGGCCCAGTGGGGCAGGCAGACCCTGCTCCACGCCAGGAGGTGGGAAACGAGGAAACCAGGAGTTTGTTCAGGCACTGAAGTTAGTGGCCGAGTTGTTTTTACACAGGATGGGCACACGTGTAACACACACACACACGCAGTGAAACATCCCTTTCGTTTGTTAAGTTCTCAGGATGGCAAAGCTGTTACCACTGAAACACTGGGGACTTTAGATATGTACTCAGCGTGTGTGTGTGGGGGGGGGGGGGGGGCAGTGACAGCGGCCCAGGGCCTGGAAGTGGAGCAAGTGCCTTTTGGGGAGAAAACATCTTGTTTCAGTGAATCCGCAGGTCGTTCGGAAGCGGAACGGTAGGACAAGAGGGGAGAGTGACAACAGGACACGAGAGCCGTGCACTGCCAGCCTGCAAGGCTCATTGCAGGAAAGGGCGGCGCCAGGAGGCCTGGGGGGAGGGGGGCACAGGCCCGGTGCGGGCTCCGGGGTCGGGCGGTGTCACGGCCACGTGTGGGCTGTGCAATGTGAGTGTGGGCCCCTCACAACTACATTTTAAAACCTGTGTAAGGTTTTGGCTTTAACAAAATCCTTGATACTTAATATCTTTGCTGCCAAGTTTTATGACTTTTGTTTTAAAGTTTTCAATGGCCAGACCTCAAAACACTCATGACAGGAAAATCTAGTCATATAATATCTTTTAGAAGAAGGGGGAGAAGAGACAAACATCGTGAATTGGTTGAGCAGAGACTGTTTAGCATTTAGAACAGGTGGGTGTCAGGTGTAAAGATGGAAGAACGCCGGTTAGAGTAGCGGCGTTTATCCCAGTGGGATAAGCATGAGGGCAGCGTGAGGGCAGCGTGAGGGTAGCGTGAGGGCAGTGTGCGGGCAGCGTGAGGGCAGCGTGTGGGTAACGGCTGTGACATGCTTACAGGGCACAGACGTGTTCCCGGAGCCTGTGCACCACGCGCAGTTCTACTACCTCGATTCGTTCGTGCTCGTGTCCTCGGGCCCCGAGTTCCAGCTGCTCAGGCACCACCTGGACACCCGCAAAGATGAGATCAAAAGGTGGGCGGCCCGTCCGGAGCCACGTCTCCTGTGGTGGGAGGAAGCGTGTTTCAGCGATCGGTGACGTGTGAGGCAGTGTCTACATTTAAACATAGTTTTCATCCAAACTGTGGGGGCCTCACGTTACCGCGGTGTGTGTGTGTGGGGGGGCGGGGGGGCTGCCTCCTGCTTCCACGCCCGTCCTGAGCCTCATTCCCAAGCCTAGGACTCCGCCCACTTTGCCCTGGAGTCTGAGCTGCCCCTGCGGGCCCCCCAGGCCTCCATGCCTGGCTCTGCATGTCCTGGCCCAGACCCCACCCTGCACTCGCCTGCCGTCGAAGGTGCGGGCTGATGGCCTGGCTTGTCCTCACTGAGCCCCCAGCAGCTTTGCCCCGTCACCTGCTGTCCCTGCCAGTGCCCCAGGCCTCCCCCACCTGGGCCAGGCTGGCCACCGTGACTCGGCCACGCTTCCCTGGGACTGTGCTCCGCGCCGTCCTCGCCACGGCTGAGACACGCGTGTGAAACCTAGGGAACATCAAGCTGTTGTGTGTGATGGGAGCACGGTCACTGGTACCGTGGGTGCTTCCGAGGCCTGCGGTTACCGTAGGGTTGGGAGCCATGTGCTTTCTCACGGACGGCAGTGCCGAGTTTGTGGCTGAGATGGCGGTAGTTTTCATGAAGTCGTAAAGTCAGTCAGGTGGCTGGCTCACATTCCCTCGTCCTAAAACGTGATCATATGAGGGGATGTGAACACTTACATGTCCAGCGTTTCACAGGTAGGACGCTTAGTTGTGGAGGGAAACAGACACTGACATCTTGTCTGTTCCAGATACAAACAGAGGAGCCGGTGCACCCGCGTGTTCCGGCTCCCCACGACGGGGGCCGCGGAGATCACCGGCCTGTCGGCCGCCAACGAGTTTTATTCCCGTATCCTTTCTCCTGTCCCGAGGGCTGCGGCCGGAGCGTCTCAGCTCCGCCCCGAGTGGCACTGCGGAGCCCAGACCCCAGTGAACTGATTCTGAACAATGTGACAGCTCGTCTCAGCAGTGGGGGGCCCTACGGGATAGAAAGGGGACGCGGCGGCGCCTCTGACCGGCAGCGGCACACGGTGTCGGCTCCGCGTCTGGGACCGCGTGACTTCGTGCAGGGCCAGACCCACCCCAGGGGCCTCGAAACAGCTGCAGTTCAGGGGAACATAACACAGAGCCCAAAGCTTTCCTTATTTAGCCTTTAGGGCTAACATCAGCCCTTTTCATTAAAAAGCATCCATTTAAAATTACTTGGAGGCAAAAATCAAAATCTTCAGGAATCTATTTTGTAACATTTTAATTTACTCAGAGGCCCCATTTAATTCTTTTGAAGAGTTCTGTAGTTGAAATTTTATAAGGACTGGCCTTTGGTATTAGAAGGTTCTAAAATATTCTGTTAATATGCGTTATTTTTAGTCTAGAACCTTTTGCTAAAAACAGAACAAACAGCCTCCTGCAGAAGTGTGCTGTTGGCCTGCGGTTCCCCACGTGAAGGTTCTGCTCTGCTGCCCGCGTGGGGCCCAGGATCAAACCCCTGCCCTTTGTCCGATGTGCACGTCTCAGGACTTGGGTAGATTTTCCTGCCGTTCTGGCTAAGCACCGGCAGTTGGGTAGTTCATAGGGTCACGTGACCCCTCAGAGCCCACGGAGTTGGTCACACTCACCTGTGATGTGTCCCGGACATGGCCACGGGGCCACTGCCCAGCCTCAGACCGGTCCAAGCCAGCCCCTCCTCCTGCACACGCAGCCGCGCAGCTGAGCGTCTCCGATTGGAGTATTTCCCAGGCGCCTCGACCCTCATTTATCTCATGGTGGAACTTGGTCTTTCACCTCGAAATCTGCTCTGCCCGGGCCTCCCCTTTGTCCTCAGCCCCCCACCCCCCACCCCCGCTTAGAGAGGGGGGGCCCACGTGGGGAGCAGGCTGAGACCCCACCTCTGTGGACGTAGGCGTTCCCTAATGGAGCCCAGACCTGGTGCTGGCCGCCAGCCGGAGCAGGACAGTGGAAGTTTTCGACCTCAACGCGGGCCGCAGCGCCGCCGTGATCCAGGGGGTCCATTCCCGGCCCCCCCACCAGATCTGCCAGAACCAGGTGAGTGAGGTCGGGCCTGCACATCGCCTGTGAAACGCCACGTCCAAGGCTGTCACCGATGCGTTGGGAGATGCACTGTCACGTCTCCCTCCAAACCCAAGGCGAGT